CAGGATAGGCCTGTTGAGAGGGAAGCAGACAGAGCCTGTGGACAGAATTGCCACTGCTGGCTTCATCACATTCAGTGTGGCTCCAAAAGGATAAACAAAGGTGAGAGCTCTGCAGGAAATACAGGAATTCCATAAGCACCTGCATGCACCAGGCAGGCTGGACAGATTCACAGAACTCAAACTCAAACCCACAGACTAGAGGCAAACAAGATTTGGTCATGAGAACTGTAATTCCTTTCCAAACCTATCCCTCCTGCTCCTTCAGAGGTTACCAAGCTCTACTAAACAGATTCTCCTTTCCAGATATAACCTAAGAAGCACAAGAACTTAAGAAATGCATTAGAAAACCTCACCATAAGCACTGTGTACTGCTGCTAATCACAAACCTGCCAATTCTGAGGTGTTCTACACATTTTGACATCAGTTTCCTCAGAGAAAACACTTACTGAGAGTCACGGCCCCTTCCATCTTCATCTGTTGTCTCAAGCACTGTTTTCTTTGCAGCTTCACTGATTCCCCTACAAGATATTGAAAAACAAACCTTACTGAAAACAATCCAGCTTACAAGAGTTTACTGTGAAGATTCACATACCCCAAATATTTACCTGTTCAAAACTCCATCAGAGATTAGTGCTTCTTTTGGGTGGTGGTACTTGTAATATACATTTCGTACTACAGCATCTTGCAAAAAGAAAAAAATACAGAAATTGACATCTTAGCTGATCAATGTGTTAGATTTAGCAAAGAAAAATTAGTTTAGCTCTTGGGTCTTCGCTTCTAACACCACAAATCTGACATCTGGCTACCAAAAGAACTAAAATCAGCCTTCACTACTGTTTCCTTTTGGACAGAATAGATTTAGGATAGGAATATGTTTGCAAATTCAAATAAAAATACAAAAAGTTAAACACATCACCATCTTCTGCAAAGCAAAAGAGACAAATAGATGATGCAGTTAAAGCAGCCTGTATCGACTTTTACAACTCTATTTTTTTCATACATCTTCCAAACACCTGATGAATTGAGTCCTATTGATGCAAAAAAGATGCATAGTCTAGAAAATCCACCAAAGACCCCAAATATTTTATGTACACTGACACACACTTGCCTTGGGTTGTTGGGGTTTTTCTCCACACTGGCAGCATAAAACTAATGAGTGACATTTTATTGGTCTGCTAAAGAAAAGTGTCACTTCTTATTCAGTGTGAGCATTAAGTGATTCAATCCTTTAAAATGTGTGGAAAAATGTTTTAAATTAATGGCTTTTTAATCAAGAAATTTCCCAATTTTTTTTTTTTTTTTTTTTTTAGTAAATTAAAACTAACAACTACAGCAAAGGAATGGAAATGGCCAAGTTGCCCATGTACTCTGTCCATGGAAAGCCTTTGCTGTGCTCCAATATTACCTTGCCATGTGCATTCAGATTTAAAGAAAAAAAATCTTTTCGATCAAAAGATACTTTGTGAGAAAGATCTGCTTGGCTTGTATCCACAAAGGCTAAACCTGCTCTTTCAATTTTGCTGCAAATTGATTTCTAAAGGTAGCAGTGAGCCCCATTACCATTATTGAAAATGATCCCATATTCTTCTAACAAAAAGTTAATATTTGTGCCATTCCGGGACTCTCCACCTTCTCTCAGCATCACCAGGATGGCCCCACCATCCTCCAGGAATTTCTTCAGAACAGAAAACTAGAAATCAACAAAGATCCAGGAAAAAAAACAAACATGAGAACCTATGCACAAAACTGCATGAACTTATATTGAGATGAGGGGAGAGAAATTATTTTGACTGCTTGCATTTAACTTTGTCCTTTGTTAAATAAGAAAAACATTCAAATTCCAATGTATATGAACTCATTTAAAGCAGCATTACAGCAAAGTCTTCTTTGTCTTGTTCTTTTCTACTTAAGCACATTTTAAAATGTGCTTGAAAACAATTATTGACTTCTTACCTCATCAGCACTGAACTTCTCTCTTGGTCCTGCTGTAATCCACAATTTCACCCCAAACAGTCTCTCAGAAGTGATCTCATCCTTTAAGCTATGAATAGATTAATAAAACACACATTATTCTTGGATGTAGTCCTGAACCACAACTTTTTCCTTTTTTTTTTTTTTTTTTTTATAAAGGACTTGCAAATGAACACAAAGCAAATCACTTCAGTCACTTTGCACCCTTTTATCTGGGTTTAAAGTTGACAACTTGAGCAAAAATAATCCTTACAAATGCCAACCAGCTAAACAGTAATGCTCCTCTGACAAGGCACTGTGGCAGATCCAGAACTGCTGCAAGCTGTCACAGCTGCTACTAAACTTTGCACCTGAGGAGCTTCCTACTATTTTTCATTTTCTTCTTTTTGGTCTGGCCACATTTCATAGAATAAGATGAGGTGGAAAGGACCATGGAGCCCAGCCCCAATCCTGCCCAGACCCCCCCAACAAGCCCAGCCTGGGCACCCCTGGCAGCGCTGTCCCAGCGCTCCTGGAGCTCTGGCAGCCTCGGGGCCGTGCCCATTCCCTGGGGAGCCTGGGCAGTGCCAGCACCTCTGGGGAAGAACCTTTCCCTGATCTCTCCCAAACAGCTCCATGACATGCCATTTTGCAGCAGTCAGATAAACAGCACCATCTACAAACCCCCTGCTTTCTTTTTGTCCCAAACTCCAAATCGGGACAGACTCACAAACCTGTATGAGGAGCTTCATCCTTCCAACTTACACTCCATCTCCTACAGGTGAGCTGTAGCTCCCAAGAACCACGCACAGCATCCCACAGCGGCAGAAGATGCAACAGGGCGCAATCAAGGCGAGAGAGCGGCCTCAGCTCACGGCATTCGCCCCCAAAGGCCACTCGGGTGCCCGGCACAGCCCACACTCGCCCGCCGGGGCCTCGCCGTGCCCCGAGAGCCGCCCCTCACCTCTGCACCTTCCAGCTGCCGCGCAGCCTCTTCCGCAGGGCCTTGTAGCCGCCGGCCGGCGTGAAGCTCTCGCCCTTGGAGGCGTTGAACACTATGGCATTGCGCGGGCCGCTCTCCATAGGCTCCCGCGGGGCTGCCGGAGGGCTCTGGGGAGCAGCGGGCAAGCGCCAGCGCTCCGGCCGCCCGCGGGTCCCCAACCAGACCCCGCCGTGTCGCCGTCACCACGCGCGCCCTAGCAACGCTCCGACCGGACGCATGCGCGGGTGGCGTTTCCCCCCCTTCGAGTGCAGAGGTCGCCGCAGTGGTTCGCTCCACTCCCCGCCGGGGAAAGGGGCGGGGTGGTACCACTGCGGAGGGCGGGGGGTGTGACGGGGCGGGGACAGGGCGGTGCTCCCGCCCTCCCTCAGCCCGGGCTCTTGGCCCCAGCCCGCGCCTGTCGGGGCTCGGCGCAGTCCCGCTGGCCTGAGCCCCTCTTGACGTTTCCGGGCCTTTGATTTTGCTTGTGTCTAAAATCCCAATCCTGATAGCTGCAGTTTCTTCCCTGTGAGGGTGGGGAGGCCCTAGCACAGGTTGCCCAGAGAAGCTGTGGCTGCCACAGCCCTGGAAGTGTCCAAGGCCAGGCTGGATGAGGTTTGGAGCAGCCTGGGAGAGTAGACAGTATCCCTTCCTCTGGCCTTTAAGATCCTCAACCCTTCCATGATTCTGTATGTGCTTAAATTAGGGAATTCCTCTTTAATTTTAACCCAGACCTTCCGCCTGCAGCCCTGTGCTCTCAGGCCCAGCACAAAGCAAAGAGCCTCCTTCCCCTCTTATCCAGAACAGCCAGAGATGCACATGAGTGTTTGCAGCTTTAATATAAACCATGTCACATTTCCAATGACTTCAGCATATACAAGATAGAGCCTGATAAAAAAACCAAAACACACAGTGGTACCAGCACAAGGTTCCCCACAGCACGAGCATCACACAACTTTTAGAAAGCCCCTTGCTTATCCCCGTGTTGCTCTAAGCCCCCTCTCCTCCCCACAGCAAAGAACAGCTTAAAAAAAAAAAGTGGGAAGTGACATTCAATTAATACACCAGCTTTTAAATTAAGGCAGAATAAATAACTGTTTCACATCAGTGATGGGCATTTTCAGGTGAGTGCTGGAGCCTGGAGCATGGCCACCACTTGTTGTTCACTGCCCTGTGCTCATCACAGTAGTGTTGGTGTGCCTAGGGCAAGTCAAGCACATGCTGTGAAAGCACCCCTCACCCCCAACCAGAGTTCAGCTGTAAAGGTATTTTTATTTTTCCAAGAAACTCAGCCTCTCTTCCTATCCCCCCCCCTTGATCTGGGATTTTCTTCCCACGCATTGTCTTCTCCATCACAGCCTCGTTGTTGCTTCAGTAGCATCCCAATCCTGGGCCAGAAAGATAATCCACTCACTTTGAGGAGGATCAGACTGGCATGAAAGGACACAGTGCAGTTCAGGACTTGCAGATCTGCAGCTGCCTTTGGAGCAATAACTGATGAACAGTTTTTCACTCAGCCCAGGATGAGCAGCTTGAGTGACAAAGTTCTTGTAAAGGAAGGAAGTCACTGTTCATGGTGGCTTGAAGAGTTTCCTTTTCTGTTGAGGGCTTTGAGAAAGACATTGGACATAGCTGATCATAGTTCCACAAAAAAAAAAAAAAAAAAAAAAAAAAAAAAAAAAAAAAAAAAAAAAAAAAAAAAAAAAAAGAAAATAAATGTGTCCAGTTACAGGGATATGGCTGTTGATGTGAATGATGACAGATACCTCAACCATAAATATAACCACAGAGTGAATACAACTCTGCCAAGTAGAACAAGACACTCTGGGAAAACTATAGTCAGTGTCCCACTTTCCCTGGGAGGGAAACATTCATTTAGGGAGAAAATCCACCAAACAGCAAAAAGTAAGAGATCTGTTCCATCCCAGCTAGTTAGTGTGTTAGTGCCAGTTTCCTTAAACCATGAGCAAAGGACTGTACCAAACCTCTCAAAAGGAAAAAAAATACCAAAACCAAAAAACCCATAAACCCCATTCATTTAAAATATGGCTTGACCAAGCCTTTGTAAAACTTAAATGTCCTCTTCAGTTGGTGCATATGAAAATCCTAAAAACGCGTCTGAGGCACTGGAGCTGCTGGCTGCAAGGTCAGGCGTGCGGGTGATGGAGGCAGAGATGGCTTCCTGGGTGAACTCGGGATCAAAGTGTCGCAGATCAGCTGGGCCAGCCTAAGCCAAGGAGTACAGACACACAATCATCGAGGGAGCAGACCCAAACCAGACCCTTGTGTTCAGACAGCCCAACACAGCTGCTCTTCCAAAAGAGCCATCGCTACTGCATCTGCAGGTCCCAACCCACACCTCAGAACCCTCGGCATCAGCAGGAGATATTTGGAGAGGATCCTTTATGTAAAACAGACAGAATTACCCACTTACCACATTGGGGTTGAATGGTGGGGTAATCCTCTTGTGATATAAATCATCCCAGTTTATTGGGCTGAAGAATACGTGGTTCTTTATCTCAAGCTGTACAGAAAGCAGGAAGGAAAAATCAATTTTCTGCCAACACTCATTTTCCAGCACCTGGTCTCACAGCTTTAAGTGGTTGACTTGAAGTTACCACATACTCATATCCACAAATCCTTAATACAGGAGGCTCCTGGTTCAGGAATCCCCAGAGGGAAAAGACCCATCACACACTGTTGTCCTTAGCTGGCCACCTCCCCTCTCCCTTTGGAAATCCAAGTCAACCCCATGGGTCCCTTGTAGGAGGCTGAAGGGACAGACTGTGTGGGAGTGTTTTTCCAAGGCAGTGCTGTTATAAAAGAAATGCTCAGAATAGAAATTTCCCCATCCATCTCCCTCCTGCTGATAGTGAAGGCCACCTACAAAGTCTGTTTTGGCACCCAGCCTCCTCTTCTGGTCCTTGTGAAGAAGTCCTTGAAGGATGTCACAAGCTGCCACAGTCTTCGTTCCTTGGATCTGTAGTGGCTTGTGCAGAATGTTGTCATACATCTGAGACACATCCCGGCTGTAAAAAGGAGGCTAATTTGAAAGAGAGGAGAAGCAGCCAGGTAAAACATGAGCTACCAGAAGGAGCCACACATTGCAGGTCAAAATGAGTCCTGCAGTGACTAGATGAGGGAGACCTGCCACCTCTGCTCAAAAGGGCAGTGGTAGGATTGGACCAGATCACTAATTCAGGATTTAGCTGTCTATCAAGTACCTCATGAACACCAGACCATTCTCACACCACAGGCTTTGCAAATACAAATTCCACTATGTAAAGTGAACCAGCCCATTTCCAAACTTACCAGTCCAAAGAGCATTTCATAGAGGACAGCTCCTAGGCACCACCAGTCTACTGTCCTGTCATAGGGCTGCTTCTTTAGCACCTCAGGAGCCAGATACTGGGAAGTCAGAAGGAAATATTTGAGTCAAATTATGAAGGAGGGGCTTTGCCCAAACCTGGCTGCAGCTCAAGTTGAGCAAATGCATTAAGAATAACACACATGCTGTTCCTAGTATTATCTAATAAACTCTCCACGTGCTTTGGAGCAATGGGGTTGAGAGACACCTACCAAAGCCCTCAAAGTATCCCTGCAGGCTACAGGAGGTTCTCTTCCTTGAGAGGACTTCTACAAGCATTTGGTATCTGCCACAATTCAGCCACCAATCCTGTCCCACTATGGGATAGCACATCTTTAAATAACTCCTGTATTTTTGAAAAAGCTGCAGTTTTCAGCTCCAGTAAGTCTGTCCAAAGCAGCAAAGCTACCAAGAGTCACCGTCAAGGAGCAGAAGGCAAGAAATTGAGCAGTCTGCAGAAGAGTTTCCCACAGAATTACCTCTGTGTACTATCTGGCTCTATCTAGAACAAGAAAACACCAACACACACCAAAACCAGAAAACAAAGCTCAAACATTCCTGCTTGGTTCATGCTGTACTATTGCATAACTGAAACCTCACTGAAAAAGGAGGGAAATTCCTGCCCACTTCTACTGAGCTTGAATGTTGAAAGGTGTCGTGTTTACAGACCCTTTGTCAAGCTGCCTGGGGAAAGCAGCAGGACAGGTACATTACCTAGGCTGAAGTGCTACCAAAATCCCCAAGCTCAGGGGATTTGTAAGAAGCAGGCAAAAAAACCTCCAAGGAGTCAGACTGGAAATAGGTTTTCACAAAACCCAGTTGGAGTGCATTGGAGGAAAGGCATTTCCTCCCCTCTGAGCAGTGTTTGCATTCCAAGGGGGAGCCTGGTCCCCTCCTCTGCACAGGGCATTCTGCAGCTCCTGCATGCACCAAGGACACACAGGAGAGCAGAGCAAGGTCCTGTGCATGCCAGTACCAGCAGGCTCCTTGTTCTGCACTGCTGGGGTCCCAGAGCAGGTAAACATCCTGCTCCCAAGGACAAGTTTTTCTCCACCTCCCCAGCTACTTTCACAAGCCTGGCCATTTCCAAGTGCAGGAACTCCTGCCCCAATAGCTCATTCATACTCCAAAATTGCTGTGTTGTTACAGGTAGCTGTCTGCTGGATAGGGAAGGCCTTGTCTGAACTCCAGCTTCAGGCTGGCAACCTCAGAGAGCCCATAATTTTTTGAGGTGCCACATAAGCCCAAGACCCAGAGCACCAAGTGCCTGAAGGTTTCCAGCCCCCAGGTCTCAGCAAAGCCCCAGCACATGCAGTACCTCAGGAGTGCCACAAAAGGTAGAAGTTGTCTCCTCTTGCTCCATTCCTTCTTTGCAGAGTCCAAAGTCTGTCAATACTATGTGTCCCTAAAGAAAAGAGCAATTTTGGCTTGTCCCACACTTTGTGGAGAGGAGACAGGACTTCCAAGTATTTGCCTATGCATTACATCTCATGTGGGGTTTGGTTCCCACTGCTCATCTGCTTCACCTCCCTCCCATTATGTTCACCCTATAGTACAGGTATTGGAGCCTGTAGGAAAAAAGTCTAGATTTCTTCTTATTTTTTTATTTGTCTACAGCTAGATAGCCATTAAGAGCTCCAGCACTGCTGTGATTTTTCTGCTGCTTTATCCCAGAGCCAATTTATGTAACAGTCACCACCAGAGCTAAAGCAGTGATCTGCTCTTCACCCCCGATCCCCACCCACAGGTCAGGTCCCAGTTTCTGGGAATGAGCCCCAAAACCATGCAGTTCTTCAGAGGGCAAGCCCTCTCATCCCTCCAGGACCTGCACAGCAGTGCAGTGGGGCAGACAGACAAAATGCATGCCATGCTATCAGCTATAGTCCAGATTGCAAAGCCACTGCCCGCTGCTTGTGGTCCTGATGTTTTTAAAGCCAGCAGGAAGACAGCCCAAGCTGTGAATATACCTGGCAATCCAGGAGGATGTTCTCAGGCTTTAAGTCCCTGCAAGACAAAGTGCTGTTTGAGCAGATTTGGCTGGATATATAAAAAACATGGATCTGAAACTGCTTCAGCTAAGAACAGGAGCTAACAAAGCCTCCCAATCCAAATCACCAAGATCTTCCCAAATTGCAGAGTCCCATCAGTACACATACAGGCAAACATAAATAGGCTGCTTTCACACAGGATCAGGTGTTAGCCTGCATTTCCATGCATAAATTGCCACTAAGAGATGATTTCTTACTTATTGAGCCAGGTTTATTTCTTTAAACTTAATACTCTCAGAGTGATACTGATAAGGGGAAAGAATGGTTTATTGCCCATCAGGTCTTGCAGGGTGAATTGCCAGCAGCACAGTCTTGTCTGGGCTAGGACGTTCTTCAGCTACTCCAGTCCTACATTTCACTTCCCCAGTGAATCCCTTTCCCTCCCAACACTGCACCCCCTGCCTGGGCAGGCTTGGTGCCCCTGCCTTACCTGTAGATGATGTTTAGGGAATGCAGGTACCCAATGGCACTGGCCACTTCTGCAGCATAGAAACGGGCCCGGGGCTCACGGAAACAGCGCTCCCTTTGCAAGTGGAAGAAGAGCTGTGGGAAGGTGAGAGGGCTGATCATGCCTCCAAATAAATGAAGGCTAATCTGGAGCAAGGCTGAAAGCCAGCTACATAAGTGAAAAGTGATTTACAGCAGGTAGCACATTAATAGCACGGAATAAGCCCAAGCCAAGTGAATTTAAGCAAATCCAAACACCTTTCTAAAAATTTTTCATTTCTCCTCATCATTTGCAAAAAATAATAATTAATTCTCAAGCCCCCCATCATCTGCTGACCTGGTTAAGCCCCTAGCTTACTACAACCCAGAAGCTGATTACAGTGGTAGTATGGCCATGAGAAGTGATACATGCAGAGAGCTGAACATGCAAAGATCCCAATCATGAACTCAATTTGGGCAAGATATCCACCTTAATGGTATCTCCCAGCCAGTTTCAGGTAGCACAGAAAGACAGCTGAGAAAAGTAAGCTTCTACAGGACAGAAAAAGTCTAGAAAGTTGCAATGGCATCACCCCTAAGCACTAGACATGGATCCAGAGCTGACCCACAAGAAGGTTTCCCTGAACCTCACCAATGCCAGTATTTCTCATATTCTCCATAGAATTTTAAAATGCCCCAATACTGCTTTTCTCAGAATCTTTACTTTGGAAATAATCTAACTCAGGTCATAGCCAGCAAGATCTTGACTCAATTTACAGGTGAGGTATCCTGCCAGGTATTCCTGGCTGCTCCTTGCCAGCAGTCAAAACAACATTATCCCTCAACATCATTATCTTCTGACAAGAAATAATTTTAAATAAGGCAGCATGCTTGCGAAGGACCAAAAAGGATTAAAACAAAGTCTGGAAGGGCACTCACCTCTCCTCCATTTACATAGTCAAGCACAAAGTAAAGCTTCTCTGAGGTCTGGAAGGAGTAGTGGAGCCCCACAAGGAAGGGGTGCTTGACATTTTTCAGGAGCACGTTGCGTTCTGCCATGATGTGGTTTTGCTATCAAAAAGCATTCAGGTTTCAGGCAAGGATCCAACCCAGCCTGCCCTAAGGGCTCACTGCGGTTTTCAAAGCAGGTGGAAGCTAGGAGCCCTCGAGGGTCATTTCCAGCCCCAAAAAGAGAACCACTCCCTCCTGTCTGACCTAATTAATCTCTGTTCTTTTCTTCTCATGGCACAGACAAATCCATGTTTAACGTGTGAATTGCCTGCCTGAATGCCAGGTACCCCAATTGCATTACCCATAGAGCCCATACACCACCCACAATTTCCAGAACAGCCCAGGAGAGCAGACATACCTCCTTTTTCTTAAGGATGGTTTTCTTATGCAAGACTTTCACTGCATAAAAAGTCCCATCACACTTGCGTTTGGCCAGGAGAACCTGCAACAGAAGGTGCTGGTCACAGCTGCCTGTCTCACCTTGGTCAGTGTGTCCTCATTAGCTCAACTCTCTTGTGAGTGATTGTACACAGAAAACTACTTCAGAGGGCCAGCTACAGGGTTTTAAAGACCAAGCTCCAGCCCTCTCAATTCCCAGCACTGTTTCATTGCCAGAGTATATCCCCTAGACACCCAATAGGAAATAGTTTTGGAGCATTTGAGGCCAGTCCCATTTAAAGTGAATTCTGCCTGTCTCCAGGTTTCTCTGGAGATCTTTTGCTGAACAAGTTTGAAACTTATTTTGAATCAAGCGGTGCTCTTTACCACCACCACCCTGAGCATAAAACTCCTCACTCTTCAGTCCTTAGAGAGGTTGAAGTACTTTAAAGTTAGAATGGACTATTAATAACAGTGTCTCAGGTTTTATTTAATCTCAGTCCCAGTCAGGCCAAACACCTCAGGAGAGGTGCAAGCAAAGGACACAGCCAGAAACTCCTTCAGCAACACCTTTTCCTTCCAAGCTGCCTCTAAACAGCTGCAGCCCACCTGCAAAAGCCCACTTACTTTGCCAAAGCTTCCTTTGCCAATAACCTTCAGGAAGTCAAAGTCTGTTGGCTTGGCACTGTTGGGCAAGAACGAAACAAGTTAATGTTTCTGGGAGAGAAACACGCAACAGTAACACCACCATCAAAGCAGAGTTCCTGCTTGGAAAAACGAGTGTTTGTGGAAGGGATTAAAGGGCGCTGGTGGGTGACCCTCGTCCCAGGCAGCTCAGGATTCACACTGTGTGTGTCAGTGCACCCTGCAGAGCACGAGCAACCCCTCAGCAACCAGGGGCTGAAGACAGCAGCTGTAAGGAATAAGTGATGCCCTCACAGGGCATCCCTGTTTCTAGATGCACCACCGTTTATCCCTGTTGCTAGAGAAAGATAGCCAGGAAGCCAGAAGTGACAAGGAAGACCTTCCCTTACTACCTCTCAAAAGAAAAGGGACAAGGGGCTACAGACATGGCCAGGAGAGGATGATTATAGTGAGTACCAGCTACAGCTTAGTCTTGGAAGCTGGTGCATTGGTGGCACATATGATGTAAAAGAAATGTAATTGTCCAGACTCCTGCAGACAGCACCCTGTGACACACAGGGACCATCTGCATCCCCCTACCACATCTCTTCACACTCCACACCCTACCTGGCTTTGCAGGGAGCTTACTTGGGGTTAGCAGAAGGTCCGAGGTTGATGTTTTCGGTTGGAGTTGAAGGCTAGAGAAGATAACAAGAATTTTAGTCACAAGGACTATGCTGCAGGTTGGGTTTTCCTTTCCTCAACACAGCAACCCTCACACAGAGCCATTGATGAACACCCAGTGGATACTTCAGCAAACATTTAAGGTCTCTTTAGATGGCCTTATGTACACACAGCACCACAGAGCTGCAGCCTCTCTCTTCCCAAAGACAAGGGGATACATACACACACAGGTGCTCTTCCTGTTCCCTAGGAATCTTACTGTCCCCAGACCCTGGGAACATCATGCCTTGTCCAAAAGGGCCTCCCTGCTGTTTTTCCTCAACCAGCATCACCCACAGGACAGGGCAGCAGCAAGACTCCCAGCAGGCTAACATAGGCTCTCTTCTTGTTTTTCTTCTAAAGGCACCAGCCCCCTTTGTCCCAAAGGTGAGGATTTGCTTCATCAAAGCCATGATCTCACCTGGGTGCTTTTGTCTGGGCTCCGGGAACGATCCATTAAAAAAACAACTCGCTCAGCACTTGGGAAAAGAAGAGGAAGTCAGTGTTGAGTACAAAATCCAAGAGAGAAACAGCTTCACACCGTTAACTTGCTGGGGAGTAGCAAACCCCAGTGTGTGCACCCCTTCCATCATAGGAGGGCTCAGCTGAGCTCCCCAGCACTGCTGCCCCCAAAGGATGGGATACCTGCACTCTGGGGGAGGCAGGGAATGGTGTGTGCTGTCAGAAGGTTAGGGAAGCAGGGCTCCTGGCTGAACAAACTTATCTAATATTAGCCCCTGACTCACAATAGCAGAAGTTGCACAAGCACATGAGGGCCAGCACAGCCCCAGCAGCAGCACAGCACCAGGCCAGGTGAAGTCACAGCTCTCCTGGCAGAGATGCAGCCCCCTCCCCAGTGCACAGGGATGCTGCAGCCCAGTGAGTATTCCCACAGGGTAGCCAGGAGAGTCCAGCTAGGTCCAGGCACCACGGTCCATGGGGCTGGCAGCAGCCAGAGGCCACTCCCCAGGTCAGACCAGGGCAGCCCAGGGATGTTGACATTGCAGGGAAGAAGAGCTGCCATGGCAGCCAGGGCAGGCTTGGTGAGCAGAGGCATTAAAGGTCTCTTGTCTGCCTGGTGCAGCTTTTGCTGGGACTGGAGAAGCCAGACTTGAACACTCATTGGTTCAGATCCATCCTGCCTGAGCATCGCTGGGGATGGGTGAGCCTTGCCTCAGGGATTCCTCCCTTTGGTTTTAAGGGTACATCTATGCGCTTTGCAAAAACCAGAATTAAGAGGATAACATGAACAAAACAACTCTGCTCCCTTCTCCCCTGCCCCAGAGAGCTTAGACCCCCCTCAGCCCCACCACACTACGTCAAGGCTCTGAAGGCTCACATCCCCACAGCCCCCCTCTGCCTCACCCCTCCCAAAAAGGGGGCCCAAAGACCCCACCAGCCTCCCTGCATCTCACCTGTGGGTGCTGCCACTCTCTGCCCCCACACACCACCAGGGACAGACCCCCAGCCATCCCAAAGAAACCCCTCGTGCACAGCCAGGCTGGGCATGGCAGGAGCTGCCGGGCAGCAGCTGTGTCAGGGACTGCCCGCATCTGCCTGGTGCCAGCCAGCTCCATCCACCACCCAGCCAGCACAGGGGTTATCAGCTGAGCTGTTAAAGGGCTCCCATCCCACTGGGAGGGGTTCATACTCACTATGAGCAGAGCCTGGAGCCAGAGGCCTTGATGGTTTGTTCTATCCTCTCCCGGCCGTGCTTGATGAGTTCTGTGAGCAAAGTTGGAGCACCGAAGCCGATTAGCTGGCAGCGTGATCACAAGTGCACAGAGGCACATTTGTTCTTCACTGACCTTGCTCTTCTCTCCACAGCCGCCCTCCTCCCCCTTCCACTCACATACCAAAATAACCAGGAAATTATAGGAGCCAGGACATCTTCCCTCCCAGCCTCACCAGGAGCCCTCAATAGCTCACAGGACAGGGATGAGTGCCACAAAACAGACACCCTCTCTGGTGGCCAAGGGGACTCAGGCTAAAGCACCACTGTCAAGCCTTTCTGAGCCACCCCTGTGTCCCCAGTGGGGACAAGGAGAGTGCTTACAAGGATGAGGTTGTACTGGGATACGTCACACACTTGGCACATCCCCTGTCCCTTCCATTCAGGACTCTGTGAGTAATTAGGGACGTGAATGAAACCTTTCAGGCCCTGCAGGAGGTAAGCCAGCACACACACATCACAGCAGTGACTTGCCCAAGGACACATAGCCAGCTCCAGAAGTTGGGATTCCCACCATGGAGCATCTCTGCTGCTCAGCTGTACAGGCTGTTGCCACCACTCATCATCATCATCACCTCTCCCTTCACAGAGAGGAAGCCCTGAGCCTGCTCCCTGCTGCACAGGCTGAGCCAGAGGGAAGCCCAAGGAGTGCAGCTGTACAGAGGAGTTCCATGTTTTGCTTAGGAGTAGATAGCAAAATTATTTCAAGGCTCAGTTTTACTCCTCAGCTCTGCCACTGAAGGGAAAGCAAGAATCAAAACATTCACAGAAATTTGTCTTTCCTTTTCCATCTAAAAAGAAGGGGCTTTGTAGACACAAGCAAGCTGTCTTCTTGGAATAGCTCTTCTACAGACTAAGGAATGTGCAGCACCAATTGCCAGAGCCCATCTCCCTGGGCAAGGGTTTTGTAGGACAATGAGTTTTGAGGTGAACAAGCCCATAACACAGCCCTCCTGCATGGATCTTTGGATCTGCCAGGCAGGGAGTCCTGGAACTCCTGAGAGCCCCTGAGCTGGCCCCACCAGCAGATCTGGGATTTGGGGGCAGCTCTGATGAACAGCCAAAAAAACTAAGCTGTGAGGTTAGAGTTTCTGAATGGATAAGAAAGGCAAAGGGAATTTAAAGCAAAGCCCACAAACCATGCAGAGGGAGAACTTACAACATCAGGCTGGTCTGAGCCCCTGACCTTGTCCATACTTTGCCCTGCAAGTCCAAGATCCTGTCCCAGCTGGCAGCCACCAGCAGGGACAGCATGCAGGCAGCACCCAGACAGATCAAGCCCCATCTCCTCCCTCTGGGCATAGTCCTTTCTGTGACAGCCCAGCTCTCCCAGGTCTGCTGAAGGTCACCCAACACCTGCCTCAGGGCTGTGTCTGCCTCTCAGGCTGCTGGACAGGCTGGGAAGATTCATGGCCACAGCAGAGGGACACCACTGCTGCTGTCTCTGAGCAGACAACACTCCCTGAAGGATCCAGACCTGGGAGGAGGCTGGCACAGGGCACACGCGTGTGTGTGGACATGCCCCAAGCTGCACATGGCAGCAGTAGGGAGAGGAGTGAAGGTTCCCACCCCTGCTCAGGAGCCTCTGGCCAGAGCAGCCCAACCTAACACCTCATGCCTGCTCACTGCCTGCAGCTCCATCAGGTGGTACAGCCCATTTCCTCCAAATGTGATGCCCCACGAGCTTGAGTTTGGCCTCAGGGCCACCTTGCTGCCACTGTTCTGGTCCCAGACTCTGGGGAAATGATGACTCAGGGACAGATGGAGAAATCACAGCTTGGGCATCATGGAGAGCACATGAGCAAGCCATGGAAACAAATCCATGGGTCTTGGAGGTATTTACAGAATGCAGGACAAGTTCCTGACTCAGTCCAAGGGGCTTGGACAAGCCTGTTTTAGCAACCTGCAGCTAGGCAGGAGCCCCTTCCAGCCTGGCAGCCCATTCATGCCTCCCTCCACCAGCCCTGTTCTGCTCCACTGCCTCTTTGCTGGAAGTGAAGCCACTCAACAAGTCCCTGCTGACCAAGGGCAGCCTTTTCCAACACGGCTTTTTCATTAAAGGGACTTGCTCTGAGTTAAAGTCTCTGGCACTGAAGTACCATACCCATTTGTAGGATGTGCATATTCCCCACCCCAACACTTCCTATTCAGGTTCAGAGCCACCTTCCCCAGCCCAAGTCCACTTTCAAAACCAGGTTGGTTTGTGGTTTAAATCTCACGAGCAGTCAAGCAGGCGTTTCCTTATCACTAACAAACCCTACTCCTCCTAAAGCAGAAAGATTCCTGAGCACACACACTGAACAACAGAACCAGAAATAGGTCACAAAGATACGCTGGAATCCTTGGTTATCCATGGCCAGCTGCATCCCTCCTCGTGCCTGCTCAGATGCTCCAGGCACGGCCAGGGCCACAGAGAGCATTGACAAGCAAGTCTAAGAGTTCCCCAATATCACAGGACTATTACACAGCAGGAACACAGACACCTGCACCCCACTCCCCCCTCCTCAAACACCATTTCACCCCAACTGCCAGCCACAGGCACCCCCAGGCAGGAAGCACCCGCTCACACAACAGAAAGCTGCTACTTCCAAGTTGGAGCAGTTCCTGCAGCTAAATCTCCCCCCACCACACATCCCTCAGTAACATACGTTTTCTTCCCAGCACAGCACGAGCAGCTCCCTGTTCCTCGCACGGTTCTGGCAGTGGTGACCCACATTTCCCATGCCAGCCCAGCGTTATTTGCTACAAACACATTACTAATGCAAGGCGTACCTCGCACGGAGACACAACCTCACAGACTCGTCATCTGCGGGCTGCTCCCACCTCCTCCCTGATGTCACCGCTCTCGGCAGCCTTCCCTGCCTAACCTACATTGCAAACCCCTCCGAGCGAGTCCCTCGTCCCCTCCTGCTCTGGGAAGGGCTGGCTGCAGGCCTGGAGGGCTGTGGCTGGGACAGCAGGTGATGTTGTGGAGGAAGCTCAGAGTTTGGGGCAGGGATGAGGGAAGGGCACCAAAGGCAGCCTGCAGGTTTCACCCAGCACAGGGGCTGCTCTCAGCTTAAGGGGGAGATGCCCCAGTTTCAGCTCAGAGAGGAGCAGGGAGGGAGGTGGGAAGGAGGATTCCTGCAAACATGTGCTTCTGCTGGGGAGAGAAAAAAAAAGGCTCAAGTTTTCCCCTGCTACAGATCTAAGAGATAGCTGCAAGCTAGTACTGAACTCCACTTTCATCCCCATTGAGACACTACAGCAAGTCCAGGAAGAGGAAAGACTTTGAAGAACTTCTGCATTTCAGGAAGCTTTCTTAGCCAGTCTCTGGAGACCTCTTGGCTTGTCCAATTTTCTCCTGCAGATCCTGTCCCTACACCCCAGGGACACTGCAAAACAGAGCAGGAGTCCAGCCTGGCTCAAATCCTCAAAATTTTAGAGAAAAGCTACATGCAGAACTTAAAGAAAACAGCAGGTGGCTAAAGCTTGAAGCACTTTGCAGAAAAATTCTATGAAAACAAGTCATCAAACATACCTGGGAGCATATCCCCCAGAGGCTGAGGCCTGAAGCACGGGAAGCATTCCACAACCACTGAGCACAGAGACCTCTCATTCCCCACACTCCCCATCTCTGCATCAGGCTCCCCTGCCTGCCTTGTCAGGCCAGGAGCCCAAAGCTCCCTCCTAAAACCCAGAGGGGAAGAGCTTTGTTTCCTGCAGCAGTTCATTTAGCCCCTAAACATAACCACCCCCAACTCCTCAGAGTGATAATGCCACTACTGGTGCCTCACTGCAGCACTTTAAAAAGAGCAGGAAAAGCTGACCAGCTGCAAAAGATGAAGAAACACCTGCTAGCTGTATGCAAGGAGTGAGAATTTAGGTGGGAGGGAGAGTTTTGGGTGGGGAGGAAGAGGTGCAGGTGGTGGGTAGAAGCAAATTACAGCCTGGCAGGCAGCTCAGGTGTTCTGAATAATTTTTTACAAGTCAGCTGGAAATTTGTCCTCTGTCCAGTGGTTTGGAGGAAGGTCAAAACTGGCATTTGGTTCAGGTCAAACCCTGAAGAAACTGCTTTTTACAATGTCCTGGGGACCCTGGAGGGCTGCAGCCAGGGCAGCCAGGTTGGTGTTTTGCAGCACTACTAACTGCAAACATGAGCACATGGGGAGCCTGGAGATTTGAGAGACCAGAGACTGAGCTCTGAGCAAAAGGAGACCTGGGAGAAGGGCTGATGTCTTTTCTCTCTTCATTAAATATAAAACAGTCACTTTTTGCTTCCATTGTAGTTTCCTATTAAAATCTCCCTGCATGCAGCTGCAGCAGCAGGAAAGCAGCTTCTGGAGCAATTTCAGTGGTGGGTGCAAGGAGGTAAAAGCCAGGCTGTGGCAGCATTCCCTGTGGGAAGCAGAAGGGCTGGCCACCGTGGGATGGGTCCCTCACCCAGATTGCAGCTACCAAGGGAGATCATCAGGAACATCTGATGTGCTTGGTGCCATATGTAATGAGAGATGGGGAGCAGCATTTTGCTTGAAATATTACCTTCTTTCAGGTCAAAACCTGATTTTTTGCTCAGCAAATATTCTCAAGCTATCAGCACTGACATCTTTTAAGAATATCCCTTGTTTTTCTTTTCTCCAGCTTTGCCTCCACTTGCACTAAAATGGTCAAATTTCAGAATAATTTCATGAGTTAACTTACATTTTCTAGTCAGTGCCTTCTGCTTTTCTTTCTTTAATGAAAATCTCTGTGTTATCAACAAAATCTACTTGATTTTAATTTCCATGGAAAAAGGTATCTTTAATTAAAAACCCATTTTCTATCTAAAGAAAAGAAAGCAGGAGGATCCTGTAGGGAAAATTTTAATGGCTAAAATGCATATAACACCTAATCTGATGACAGCTAGTGATGGACAAAGTCATGTTGGGTCAGTTTTTGTCCATTCTACCCCCTCTGAGGATCACTGACCCTCCAGTGCTGGGTGTCACTCAGGGCCAGGTGTGCAAGGCAAAGCTGCCACCTCTGTGTGTGTCCCATGGGAACCAGGCTCCCTGCAGCCCTTGCTGGGCAGGCTGAGCCTGGCTGGAGCCCACCAGGAAGGCTCTGCAGCCCAACACTTGTGGGAGACCATGGGGAAGCCTTCTCCATGCCCTCACCATGCCCAGGGCTCAGTGGCACCATGCCACCCAGCAGCATTACCTTTTGTCTTGCCCAGGGCAGTGGAAGAAGGCTCCATCCAGGCCACGAACATAAGCCAGCCAAAATAATCTCCTCTCCTTGTAGCTGGGGCAGGAATTCAGCTGCTGGCTCCGGGTGTCCTTGGGAAGCAGAGCACGCAGATGTTCCTCTGTCTGCAAAGGTGAAGGGCACAGGAGTAAGAGCAGAAACAAGTCCTTGGGTGCAGCACTGGCTGCCTGCCAGCCAGCCACAGCTTTGAGACACTGGGACAGTTCCTGACCCTCGTCTGGGCAGAACCCACCCAGTCTGGTGGAGATCACTGCGGAGTTCTGCCATCACTCCAGTGACAAACCACTTTGGGACTGGCAGACAGAGGGAATGGAAGACAGCTGAGAGGTTTGGCTCCTGTAACACAGAAGAAATTTACTGAAAACCTGGTAAATTCATGTATTTCTGCTGTTGGGAAAGGATTTGGTGTTTAGATGCTTCTAGGAGCTGAAACCCAGTTCACCCTACTTGTACCCAGGGTGACTGCCCTGACACTGGTGGCTCCCTGGCACAGGAGCAAACATTCCCTGGAAGCACAGGGACACATGGCCCACCAGTGAATCCCCAGTGCAGGGCAGGTTCTCACTGGAAATTCAACATCAGACACCTGGAGCAGCTGCAAAGAGCTCTGCCTGTGGAGCCCTGTGACTCTCCCTGGAGCGGGAACCAGGGTGAGCAGTTGTCACTATGATGACATGAGTGGGACAGGCAGGTGTGAGCAGGGTTGGCCTCCTGCCCTCCCCATGTGTAAAAGGTGAGGCTTTGCCCCTGCCCTGTGCTGTGTGCCCACAGCCAGTCCCCCCTGCAGCAGCTCTTGTCCCTCACCCATCATGGCCCGTGCCCATGGCAGGACACATCAGTGCCACCCTGCAGGGACTTGTGAGTGTGGGAGCACTTAGGGCACACACATCACACAGGCACATGTCCCTGCAGGTGCCAGCACGGTAAGCATGCCCCCTTACAGCAGCACTGACCTTGGCCCATTCCCCTGCCTGGAACTCACACGCTCCTGGACAAAATTAAACAATTCTGGTGGAGCTGGGGAGCTGCTGATGTCAGGGCGGGGGTTTGCCAGCATTGCTGCTCCTCTGTGTCTGGCTGCTGTTTCCCTGCCCTCCAGAGAGCACATCTGTGCCAGGACAGCCTCTGGCTGGACCTGAGTTCAAAGGTGAGGAGCAGATCTCAGGCAATTTAACCCCTTCTGTGCACACGTCCTGCCTGGACCTGGCCAGACCATGGGGAACAAACTCTGGCCACAGAGAGGGATTTTTTTCAGCTGGACTTGTGCAGCTCAGAGCCTCCAGACATTGCCTATTCTTGGAAACATCTTCTTTCCTCCCAAGAGAGGGAAGCTGCCTTTATCTTCCCCAAGCCCTATAAGGGGTAAAGAGCTGTGTGGTCCTTCCATGGCTGAGTTGGATCCCTACAGAAAGGACCATCCCAGCAAAGCCACGTTTGCAGCTTCACCAGGACAGGACACATCCAGTGGGGACAACAGGTCCAGCCCATGGTCTCTACACACAGAGAAGTACCCTCTCTCTCTCTGTTACAATATTTTGTATGCTATTTTACAGGGGAAGATATTCCTAATCTTCCTATCTAGCAAAATCCATAACCATAATCATAAAAATGTCACTGAAGTGGAACAACACAGTCCTGAGCAATTGGAATTGCAGGGAAAGTCCAGATAAGGCTAAAAACAAATACTCCTCTAGAGAGCACAAAGCAAGAGACCATGGATCTGCAGTGAAAGGTGACCTAAAATATTTGGCTACTCAGTTATCTCTGCGGGGTAAGAGCTAAGATGAGAAGGATAGGATAGGATAGGATAGGATAGGATAGGATAGGATAGGATAGGATAGGATAGGATGTTCTTTAAAAGCTCAGAGTCTATTTGTTCCTTTTAGGAGGATTAATGAAAGAATAAATAGATTATTGGTGACCATTGCAGCTCTTTAAATTATTTCCTTTTTTTTTCCCCCTCTACATTTTTCTTTCAGCTTCAAAAAGCAGGACTCTGCCTGAGGCTTTGCCTTTGATTTTGCCAAGGAATCCCCCAGAAGTGCTGGGATATTTTCCATGTTTTGAAAAAAGGAGATAAGAGGAGGCCACTGGGTATCAAGTTTTTATTCCAAAGGACAGCTAAGGCTGAAGGGTTTGAACAATTTTTGTCACTTTTTGTGCCTCTGTTTCTGTAAATATGAGTGTGGCAGAATCTTACTGATGTCTTGTAAAGCCTTTACATTTTCTGCAGAATCAATTCCTGAGGTTATTGCTGCCATTAAATTAGGTGGCTGTGACTTTTTTTGCTCCCAAGTGCTTTTCAAGTGTAGGCACAGTCTCAGTGAATAAATAACACACCATTGGAAGCAGTCTGACTGTAAGTGACCCTTCCTGGCCAACCTTGTCCTTGCAAAAGGCTCAACTGTCCTTGCTGCTTACTGTCCCCTCTTCTCCTTCCCAGCAGCACTTCAGCACACATTACAGCCTGTGTTTGAGTAAACAACCCCAAACCCAAAAAACCACAAACTCCAAACCCTGTTTTTTGGGGTGAATACCTCTTTTTCCCTGTAGCACAGGTCAGTGTGACACAGGGCCACACTCCTGAGCTCAAGCCCCAGATGTGCTCACCTGCTGGGAACAAGGGCAGAGAGGCAGTTTCTGACTGGACTGGACTGAGCAGGGCTCAGCAGCTCAGAAGTGGCTCTGAGAGCTGCCCTGCCCAAAGCCAGGCCCCTGGCACAGCACTGGCTTCATCAGGAGCAGCTGTGGGTGCAGTGTCCCTGGGAATGCCTCCCCTCTGCCTGCTCCATCCCTGAGAGCTGCCAGCTCCAGCTCCACTGCATGGGATCCATGTTTTCAAGCCTTTTCATCCACTTGCAAATCCTGGGACGCAACTGGAGCTGGCACAGCCAGAGATTGTCTCCAGCAGAGTTCTACATACCATAACCAGTGAGCAGCCTAGTCCAAGCTGGGCTTGAGGCATTGCCAGGACCTGTGAGCCCTTGTGCAAGAGCAGCAGAGCTGTCCTAAAATCTGCCAAGAACAGCTTTGTTCCCTTGCTCTGGAGCTGAGCAGGAACAGCCCTCCCTGTCCTGCCAGAGAGGGGTTTGGGAATGCTCTGGCATTAGAAGGCTGCTGGACACCCCTGAGCTTCACCAGGCCCAGCCTCAGAGACTCTCAGAGCCCAGGAGACCACAGGAGACAACAAAACCTGAAATTTTTGGTGTAAACTTCACCCTTCTGGTGCTGACTGCAAATCCCAGTGGAGCCCAAGGCTCCTTTCCAGGTGCGGGTGGCCCAGGACCATGGGGACACACAGCTGGTCTCTGCTGATCTGCCAGCTCCTGAAAGTACCCAGATCAGGAGCGCTCATGGGTGCTGCCCACAGGAACCCACCCAGCTGAGCTGATGTGGGGCTGCAGGGATAAGCAGGGTGATGGAAGTTCCTTTGATGGAAGTTTCCTGGGGGAGGCAGAGCTAATGCCAGAAATTTTCCCAGCTAGTTTGCAGGGGCAGCAAGGAGGCTGCTCATCTCCTCTCTGGACTTCTCCACATCTGGGAAACAACCCTGCTGCTGGAACTCAACCCCTCTCCACTTCCAGCTGAGGAGCAGCTTTTCCAGAGGCCAGCCAGGTTCCTGGCAGCAAGGAGCGAGTCCTTCACAAAACCCTCTGCTGCTCCTGAAGGGCTTCAGGAAGTCATTAAAAGAAGGGAAAGTCTCAATCACCCCAGAGAAAGCAAAGGGGCATTACCTGCAGACAGGGCTCCCGGGATCCGGCAGCAGGGCTGGCGGGCACTGCCACACTCTCACCGTGGGAAGCAGCTTGTGCCTCTCTCCCTCCCGTTGTTTTTATTTTGGCAATGCAGTCTGAAGGTCGAAGGAAAAGTCCGAAGGAGTGGCTTGTGGCAGGCAGTAAATTATTACCCTGGACCGCTCTCTGAGGGGACCGAGGCACAGGGAGCTGGGGTGGGAGAGGAAAATCCCTCCTTGGGGGGATTAGAGGGCAGCTGGCTGGCAGGGAAGTGCAAAGGGTCAGAACAAAGTGCTCTGTTTGCCGGAGGCTGTGCTGGGTCACATGCTGGGTCCCAGCAGAGGTAATGAGGCATGGGTCACTTCCCAAACTCCAGCAAGACGTCCTGGCTGTGGACAGGACCTGTTGCCAATCCCCCAGCAGCTCACAGACCTTGCCAGACAGGAAAGAGCTGGGTGAGAGGGAGCCTTGCCCTCTGGCAGCACTGAGGGGCAAGAAATCCAGGGACTTTTACATGCCTGATCTGTGCAGGTGTGACAGTCCTACAACCTCCCTTCTGCCCCCTGTGTGTCCCCTGCTCTGTGGATCCTGGGCCATTGATACAGAGGAAGAACCACCTGAGAATCCAAGGAGGACCCGTGGGCACATCAGAACTGGGGCACTCTTAGAGCCAAAATCTACTGCCCTCCATGCTCTTCCCAGTTTGCTCCATTCCTCTTGCTTCCCCTCTGCAGGAGCCCAGCACCAGGGGTCACACATCCCTGTGTGGGGGCCCAAACAAGAGCCTGACAGGCGAGTGTGTTGGTGGAGTCACTGGTGAAGCCTTCAGCTCCTCACCTGAAACACAAACTCCAAAGATGCACAAAATCAGTTGATGGAGAACATTGATGCCGCCATCAAAATAAGCGTTTTCTGAAATATCCTGGAATATGTGATATGGAGTATCCAAACTGCATGAGGCTGAGATATCCAGCTGCCACCACAGGCAAGGTTTCTGGCTCCAGGTGTGGGGAGGAGGCAGAGCCATACCTGCCCTCTGCACACAGGGAGGAGTGGGCTCAGCCCTCTCCTCACTCCAGCTCCCACCGATGGTTCCATCGGGAGGGACAACTGTGTGGATATGTGAGGGCAACAGAGATTTGGTATTACCCTCATGTCTCAGGAAACAAGCCCAAATAGAGGTCCCCTTTGTGTCTGAGGAACTGTAAAGACACAGAGAGAAATAAATCCATTCCCTGGTAGTGCAGAGAGGGCCTTTGTTTGTCTGGTTTTCAGAGTGAGAAGGTTTAGAGGATTGTTGCAGCACATGACCAGAAGCTACAAAGCACAGACAAAAGCCATTTGGAGCACAGATCAGACTCTGACATCGCACTGGGTTTTCAGAAGATTTCTGCTTTGTTCAAGTTAAACCTGCTGCTATTTTGGGGGTTATTTTCCTCACTGCCGCATCCCTTGCTGTCGGGGCTGCACACGTCCAGCAGCACTGGGCGCACGAAGGCTGCCGCAGGCACAGGCACAGCATCAAAATGTCTGTGCGACGGGCTGGAGGGGCAGCCCGTGTTCCCAGCCCAAGGCACAAGTGTTGCACCAGCAGCCACGTCCGCTCCAGCCACGGACAAGTTTAGAGGACACAGCCTCTGCTTATCGCTCGGCTTGCAGAGCCGGCTCGTTTCGCAAGCTCGGCCACCAGGAGCGCCGGCTCCCGGCAGGAGCGCGGAGGGAAGCGCCTGAGCAGAGCTGACAGCGAGACAAAGCCCTTTGGGGCTCGCTGGGAAATCGCTGGCTTCGCCACAGCTGAAAAGTGCAGCGGGGCAGGCGCGGAGGTGCCCTGTCACCCCCGGGAGCCGCACCGCCTGCAGCTGCCCGGGGGCAGCGGGGGCACCGATGCTCCTCCAGCCGGGGGGATCTCCCTGCAAGCAGGAGCTTGGGGAGCTCAGGGATTTCAGGTGCCCTGGCGGGGACTGAGGGAACCCTCTGGCCGAGCTTCTCCATTCTCTGCCCTAGGAGATAGGAGTGAGGATCCCTGACCTTCCCCTCACTGTCACAAAAAGGGCACAAATCTTCTTACAGCCCCACGTACAGCAGAGGCCACTTCTGCTCACGAGGGGAAGAGGGAGAAAAGTGCTGAATTAGCTTTAAAACCTCTGCAAAATTATAGCTTAATAAAATGGTTTCCATCATCACGTACTCTGAAACAGAGAACTTCTGGCTCCTGTAAAGCACAAGGACCAGGACACGTTAGTCTGTGGGCATCCTGTGTCCAGACTCAAGCAGCTGCCTGCAGGAGAGGAGAGCCAGCTGCCATGCTGCTGCATGGCATGGCATGGCATGGTTCCCTTTGCTTCCCTGGTGGGGAACACAGACAGAAACGCTCTGAAAGCCCCGTGTACAAATCAGAGATGTGCAGAGCACTGTATTAACCTGCCGGGCAACCTGAGCTCTCCACTTATTCCAGGATCCGAGGGGGTTATCTCAGGGCAGGGGGACGGGCTGAATCTCCTCCCCCTCTGGCCCTTTATCACTGCCCTGGGGAGAAAGCAGACCTGGAACAAGAGAGTTCAGGGCAGAAGCAAGAGCAGCGAGCACCTCTGAAGAGAAGCCCCCTGTCCGGGCTGGCTCCCCTCATCTCGGACGGGTGCATGCGGTGGCTCTGGGCAGGGCACATCCCGTCTCCCGGCTGGGGAGGGATGCGGTGGCTCCTGGCAGGGCACATCCCGTCTCCCGGCCGGGGAGGGATGCGGTGGCTCCTGGCAGGGCACATCCCGTCTCCCGGCCGGGGATGGATGCGGCGGCTCCTGGCAGGGCCCATTCCGTCTCCCGGCCGGGGATGGATGCGGCGGCTCCTGGCAGGGCCCATTCCGTCTCCCGGCTTGGGAGGAATGCGGTGGCTCCTGGCAGGACCGCCGTCGGGCGAGGGCGCTCCGCCGCCGTGGCGGCTCCGGGCCGGGGAGCGCACGGCGCGGGGGGCGGATCGGGCTGTCGGTGCCTGCGGCAGGGCGGCAATCACGGGTCACCTGCACCGGGGTGGGAGCAGGGGTGATGAGGATGCAAGTGGTGAGGATGGAGGTAGGGGATGAGCTTGAGAATGGGGTAGGACGCTGCTGGGTATCCCAGGCAAAAGTGGTGAGGATGGAGGTAGGGGTGAGCACGAAGACGATGGGGATGAGCTTGAGAATGGGGTAGGACGCTGCTGGGTATCCCAGGCAAGGGCGCCGGCAGGGAGGGAAATGTGGCTAAGCCGGGGGCAGGAGCCTCACCATGACGCCCCCCACTCACCCATCCCCGGAGCCACACCACCTGTCCCCACACGGCACAGACCCCACAGCTCCCCTGTTCTTTTCTTTCGGAAGCTACCCAGAAAATCGCCCGAAATGCATTTTTCCCCGGGCAGGGACATCCCTCTCTCCTGCCAGCGGCCCCTTTCCCAGCTTGTGCCAACACCCCCGTCCCGCCCCCGGTACCGCATTGCGGAGCTGCCCGCTAACCCCGGACCGGACCGGGCGGGGGAGATGGGGGGATATCCCAGCCCTACCGGGGCTCGACGTGTTCTGGGGGCAATAATAGGAATCCCACGGGGACCTCAGCTGTGCCTGTGCTGCGGGAGCGCTGCCGGTGGGTCCGCCCCCATCCTCATCCTCGCTGTGTAGCGGCAGCAGATGGATAATTAGTTGTCGTGGCTTTTAAAATGGTGTAAATCGAGGTGTTTTCGGTCACAGGATTGGGGTGTGGGGCTGACCTCCCTCGCGGTGGCGGCTTTGCCCGCAGCGGGGATCAGCCCGACGCTCCACATCCGTGGGCAGGGTTTGGTGAGTTTGGATCAAGCCAGGGGTACACCCAGCCTTTTATTTCGTTTACTTCTCCCCCTTTGTTTGTTTGTGAGGGGATTTCCACCCCACCCCCCCTTTAACAAGAAAAACAAAACAAAACAAAAAATCTGCAAACTCCCATCCGTGGAGTCTGAGCACTACGGGGTAAAGCAAAACTGTGAGGAGGAGGTGAAAGCAGCCCTGCCACCCCCAGCTGTAAGACAATCTCTTCCCCAAAAATGTCTCCTACCTCTTGCAAACAGCTGAATGCCACCCTTTCTGGAAACTCGGCACCGCCTCCCCTTAGCCTGAGGATGTGTTGTAGACCCGACACGGGGAGGATTAACCTCCCTCTGCCCCTGCCCTGCTCCTCCAAGCCCCCCACGAACCAGGCCAGCCTCATCATCTATGTTTTCTCTTTATTGTTCCATATATTTATGTACCACATTATATGTTAAAGATAGATTTTTTTTCTGATATACATTTTTCATCTTATTTACCACAATGACACCACACGTACATTGGAAACAGCTCCACGGATCTGGTAGATTGCACAGAATGAATTGTGTCTTAGATTTGTTCCTGTAATCCTGAACGACATCAAATCCAACCATATATTATTATTATTATTATTATTATTATTTTTTACTTTTCATAATTTAAAAATAACAATTGTTAAAACAAAACGAAACATAAGTCACTGAGAAGTGGACTCCAGGGCTGCGATTTCAACCAGAGGCAACACATTTGTGTTTGATGGGAAGCGCCATTCCTCGGTGTGGATTCGGATGGAAGAATCGAGCAGTCCTGACATCTATGTGACTACGGTGTAAACATTGCAGGTAAGCGGCATCACCGGTCGTCAGACGCTGCTTGGGCTTGTTGGGCTGGTCGTACAATCGGGGTCTACATCCATCTCTCAGAGTGTTCAAACAAAGGTCCCTGCTGCGGGTTTGCTTCCCAGTCCCATGGGATTGGCACCTGTGTTTCAGCTCCTGAAACACTGAATTGCATATCTGTGAGGAGTGTTGAAAACTGCGACTGTTTCCCAACAGGCTGTTTGTGGGGGCCAAGCTTCAGGCAACGAGTGAGGAGATAGGGGTGGGGCGCCAGATAATTTCCTTCCAAAAAATCTAAAGAACAAAAAAATATATTTAAATCTGAGCTTATTTAAAAAGACATCAGGGTGAGCACTTTCATCTCTTCTTGTT